TTTCTCTTTCTTTTCATATTAATCATTGTTTTATAGAATTCTCTTTCTTTTCATATTAATCATTGTTTTATGGAATTCTCTTTCTTTTCATATTAATCATTGTTTTATTACTTTCTCTTTCTTTTCATATTAATCATTGTTTTATATAATAATATTTCTTTTCATATTAATCATTGTTTTATGAATTTCTCTTTCTTTTCATATTAATCATTGTTTTATGAATTTCTCTTTCTTTTCATATTAATCATTGTTTTATTACTTTCTCTTTCTTTTCATATTAATCATTGTTTTATTACTTTCTCTTTCTTTTCATATTAATCATTGTTTTATTACTTTCTCTTTCTTTTCATATTAATCATTGTTTTATAGAATTCTCTTTCTTTTCATATTAATCATTGTTTTATGGAATTCTCTTTCTTTTCATATTAATCATTGTTTTATTACTTTCTCTTTCTTTTCATATTAATCATTGTTTTATAGAATTCTCTTTCTTTTCACATTTATCATTGTTTTATGAATTTCTCTCGATATTAATGAATGCCCTCTTAGTATTGCCATCAAAGCGAATTCAATAGAAATTGTCCAATTCCTAGTTGATCATGGTGCAGATGTTAACATGAAACTTATTCTCTTTCTTTTCATATTAATCATTGTTTTATCTAATTCTCTTTCTTTTCATATTAATCATTGTTTTATTACTTTCTCTTTCTTTTCATATTAATCATTGTTTTATAGAATTCTCTTTCTTTTCATATTAATCATTTTTTTATTACTTTCTCTTTCTTTTCATATTAATCATTGTTTTATATAATAATATTTCTTTTCATATTAATCATTGTTTTATAGAATTCTCTTTCTTTTCTTATTAATCATTGTTTTATAGAATTCTCTTTCTTTTCATATTAATCATTGTTTTATATAATAATATTTCTTTTCATATTAATCATTGTTTTATCTAATTCTCTTTCTTTTCATATTAATCATTGTTTTATAGAATTCTCTTTCTTTTCATATTAATCATTGTTTTATTACTTTCTCTTTCTTTTCATATTAATCATTGTTTTATTACTTTCTCTTTCTTTTCATATTAATCATTGTTTTATATAATAATATTTCTTTTCATATTAATCATTGTTTTATGAATTTCTCTTTCTTTTCATATTAATCATTGTTTTATATAATAATATTTCTTTTCATATTAATCATTGTTTTATGGAATTCTCTTTCTTTTCATATTAATCATTGTTTTATAGAATTCTCTTTCTTTTCATATTAATCATTGTTTTATGACATTCTCTTTCTTTTCATATTAATCATTGTTTTATTACTTTCTCTTTCTTTTCATATTAATCATTGTTTTATAGAATTCTCTTTCTTTTCATATTAATCATTGTTTTATAGAATTCTCTTTCTTTTCTTATTAATCATTGTTTTATAGAATTCTCTTTCTTTTCATATTAATCATTGTTTTATGAATTTCTCTCGATATTAATGAATGCCCTCTTAGTATTGCCATCAAAGCGAATTCAATAGAAATTGTCCAATTCCTAGTTGATCATGGTGCAGATGTTAACATGAAACTTATTCTCTTTCTTTTCATATTCATCATTGTTTTATTACTTTCTCTTTCTTTTCATATTAATCATTGTTTTATTACTTTCTCTTTCTTTTCATATTAATCATTGTTTTATATAATAATATTTCTTTTCATATTAATCATTGTTTTATAGAATTCTCTTTCTTTTCATATTAATCATTGTTTTATAGAATTCTCTTTCTTTTCATATTAATCATTGTTTTATAGAATTCTCTTTCTTTTCATATTAATCATTTTTTTATTACTTTCTCTTTCTTTTCATATTAATCATTGTTTTATATAATAATATTTCTTTTCATATTAATCATTGTTTTATAGAATTCTCTTTCTTTTCATATTAATCATTGTTTTATAGAATTCTCTTTCTTTTCATATTAATCATTGTTTTATATAATAATATTTCTTTTCATATTAATCATTGTTTTATCTAATTCTCTTTCTTTTCATATTAATCATTGTTTTATAGAATTCTCTTTCTTTTCATATTCATCATTGTTTTATTACTTTCTCTTTCTTTTCATATTAATCATTGTTTTATTACTTTCTCTTTCTTTTCATATTAATCATTGTTTTATATAATAATATTTCTTTTCATATTAATCATTGTTTTATGAATTTCTCTTTCTTTTCATATTAATCATTGTTTTATATAATAATATTTCTTTATATTAATCATTGTTTTATGGAATTCTCTTTCTTTTCATATTAATCATTGTTTTATAGAATTCTCTTTCTTTTCATATTAATCATTGTTTTATGACATTCTCTTTCTTTTCATATTAATCATTGTTTTATTACTTTCTCTTTCTTTTCATATTAATCATTGTTTTATAGAATTCTCTTTCTTTTCATATTAATCATTGTTTTATAGAATTCTCTTTCTTTTCTTATTAATCATTGTTTTATAGAATTCTCTTTCTTTTCATATTAATCATTGTTTTATGAATTTCTCTCGATATTAATGAATGCCCTCTTAGTATTGCCATCAAAGCGAATTCAATAGAAATTGTCCAATTCCTAGTTGATCATGGTGCAGATGTTAACATGAAACTTATTCTCTTTCTTTTCATATTCATCATTGTTTTATTACTTTCTCTTTCTTTTCATATTAATCATTGTTTTATTACTTTCTCTTTCTTTTCATATTAATCATTGTTTTATATAATAATATTTCTTTTCATATTAATCATTGTTTTATAGAATTCTCTTTCTTTTCATATTAATCATTGTTTTATCTAATTCTCTTTCTTTTCATATTAATCATTGTTTTATAGAATTCTCTTTCTTTTCATATTAATCATTGTTTTATCTAATTCTCTTTCTTTTCATATTAATCATTGTTTTATTACTTTCTCTTTCTTTTCATATTAATCATTGTTTTATATAATAATATTTCTTTTCATATTAATCATTGTTTTATGAATTTCTCTTTCTTTTCATATTAATCATTGTTTTATTACTTTCTCTTTCTTTTCATATTAATCATTGTTTTATAGAATTCTCTTTCTTTTCTTATTAATCATTGTTTTATAGAATTCTCTTTCTTTTCATATTAATCATTGTTTTATGAATTTCTCTCGATATTAATGAATGCCCTCTTAGTATTGCCATCAAAGCGAATTCAATAGAAATTGTCCAATTCCTAGTTGATCATGGTGCAGATGTTAACATGAAACTTATTCTCTTTCTTTTCATATTCATCATTGTTTTATGGAATTCTCTTTCTTTTCATATTAATCATTGTTTTATATAATAATATTTCTTTTCATATTTATCACTGTTTTATAGAATTCTCTTTCTTTTCTTATTAATCATTGTTTTATAGAATTCTCTTTCTTTTCATATTAATCATTGTTTTATGAATTTCTCTCGATATTAATGAATGCCCTCTTAGTATTGCCATCAAAGCGAATTCAATAGAAATTGTCCAATTCCTAGTTGATCATGGTGCTGATGTTAACATGAAACTTATTCTCTTTCTTTTCATATTCATCATTGTTTTATTACTTTCTCTTTCTTTTCATATTAATCATTGTTTTATTACTTTCTCTTTCTTTTCATATTAATCATTGTTTTATATAATAATATTTCTTTTCATATTAATCATTGTTTTATAGAATTCTCTTCTTTTTATTAATCATTGTTTTATAGAATTCTCTTTCTTTTCATATTAATCATTGTTTTATAGAATTCTCTTTCTTTTCATATTAATCATTGTTTTATCTACTTCTCTTTCTTTTCATATTAATCATTGTTTTATATAATAATATTTCTTTTCATATTAATCATTGTTTTATCTAATTCTCTTTCTTTTCATATTCATCATTGTTTTATAGAATTCTCTTTCTTTTCATCTTAATCATTGTTTTATAGAATTCTCTTTCTTTTCATATTAATCATTGTTTTATCTAATTCTCTTTCTTTTCATATTAATCATTGTTTTATATAATAATATTTCTTTTCATATTAATCATTGTTTTATCTAATTCTCTTTCTTTTCATATTAATCATTGTTTTATTACTTTCTCTTTCTTTTCATATTAATCATTGTTTTATATAATAATATTTCTTTTCATATTAATCATTGTTTTATAGAATTCTCTTTCTTTTCATATTAATCATTGTTTTATAGAATTCTCTTTCTTTTCATATTAATCATTGTTTTATGAATTTCTCTCGATATTAATGAATGCCCTCTTAGTATTGCCATCAAAGCGAATTCAATAGAAATTGTCCAATTCCTAGTTGATCATGGTGCTGATGTTAACATGAAACTTATTCTCTTTCTTTTCATATTAATCATTGTTTTATACTTCTCTTTCTTTTCATATTAATCATTGTTTTATGGAATTCTCTTTCTTTTCATATTATCATTGTTTTATTACTTTTTCTTTTCATATTAATCATTGTTTTATAAATTCTCTTTCTTTTCACATTTATCATTGTTTTATGAATTTCTCTCGATATTAATAATGCCCTCTTAGTATTGCCATCGATTTTAAAGCAACAAACATTTTCAAATTCTTAGTTGAACATGGTGCTACAAATGACTAATAATTCTTTTTCCAACAACATTATTTTATATCGAAAAAAGCTATAGTAATGATGTTATTATTTAAGCATAAACATCTCATAATAATTTAATGTTAATTTATTGTATTAATACACTTTTCCATTATTAATTGAAATATCAGGGAATTAAAGATATATTTTGGATCGATTTTATGAATGAAATCCAAATATCAACTTTAAATGTATTGGATTGCATTAGAGATTTCGTTTTTTGATGATGACAACCGTTTTCAGGAAAGTTGTTGGAAGAAAGAGCAAAATTACTAAATGCCATCATATGAAAAATGATAAAATTAATGAATTGAAATAAAAAATGCATTATTTTTTTAATATGCCATTCCTATTTCACTCCGTTTTTGTGTCGAATTTATTGACAAAGGCTGTGACCATCAGTAGTACACCAATTATTAATGGTTCAACAATGACCATTACGAGATATAGTGATTGGAACAATAAAGTTGGTGAATTAATTGAGCAAAACAATATTGACACAGTAATTATCAGACCCGAAACACAGATGTTCAACACAATTACAGAAATCGATGGCTTAAAAGTTTCAACTTTCATCATTGATAATCTTTTTGTCACAACTTTTGATGAGAATGTATTCAAGGAAAATAAGTTTATCAAGACAGTTCAATTAACAGATTCAGTTACTGAAATCTCAGATTCATGCTTTGAAGACTCTACACTCGAGACAATTAATCTTGATCGTGTAACTAAGTATGGAGGAAGTGTTTTCAAAGGCTGCCTTAACTTAAAGAGTCTCTCAATAAATGCTGACACCATACCAAGTAGCTTTGCCCGTGGCTGCTATCAGTTGACATCAGTCAAATTCAATAAAGAAAAGACAACAATCTTAAACACCGCTTTCGCATCCTGCATTTCACTTACAGAGATCGATCTTACAAACGTTGTCTCCGTTGGCGATGGTGCTTTCAAAGATACTGAAATCACAAAAATTCATATCCCACAACAGTTACAATCCATTGGAGCAAATGGCTTCTATCGTTCCAAAATTACCGAAATAACAATTGATGATCGTAACAACCTCTACTTGGACATCGGAAGTGGTGCATTTGCTTATACAATGCTCAAAGAAGTCAAAATCCCAGAATACGTCACTTTAGCATCTGGTGCTTTCCAGAATAACCCATATTTAACAAAAGTTGAAGTATTAGGTGACTTAAACGCTTTGCCAGATTATTGTTTCTGCCATTGCCACTTACTCAAAACCGTAACCACCAAAAAGGTAACAACAATTGGAGTTCAAGCCTTCTACAATGACAAAGAATTGGCTGACTTCACAGTCGCCGATTTACAGGCAATTGGCGACCAGGCTTTCGAATTTTGTGGCAATTTGAAGATGACAATTCCAGCAACAACTCTTACAATTGGAAACTTCGCTTTCGGATACACTAAATCCGTGAAAATAGCAGAAGGAAGCCTGTTAAAGTCTGTCGGACAATACGCTTTCGTCGGCAGCCAAATCGATGAAGTTGTTGTCTCATTCGCAGTTGATATCGGTTCTTTCCAGGGTTGTCATAAACTTACAAAAGTGACAATCACTTCACCTTGCAACAAAATTGCCTCATATTGCTTCTGCAACTGCACAAACATTAACACACTCATTATCCAAGGTGGATTAGAATCAATTGACAGCTTTGCTTTCTCATCATGCTTCGGATTGAGAAATATTGATATTTCCAATGTTTCTGTTTTGAATTCTGACAGTTTCTCATTTGTCGAAATTGAGAAAGTCAAAATGTCAAATTGTGTCATTGCCAACAATGCGTTTTACGGATCATCATCTATTACCCAAATCACATTGACAAAAGAAACAAAATCATTTGATGCAACACCATTTTCTCAATTCAAGATCAAAAATGTTATTTTAGAAGATGGCAACAAGTATTTGACAGTTAAAGATGGTTCCTTTGTTTACTACAATTCTTCAACATTGGCATTCGCTTTGCCAGATGCTAAATCATTCACAGTTCCAGATTATTGCAAAGGAATCCAACATGGAGCATTTTCCATTGCAAGAAAACTCACAAAAATTGTCTTTGCAAATAAGATTGACTTAACACAAGTTAATTTGCAGGATTCTGCTTACATTTATCAAGTTACTTTCTCAATCAATGATGACAATTTGACAATTCCAAAAGAATTCTTTGCAAATTGTCAAAATCTTGAAAAAGTAATTTTCGAAACAAAGATAAAGACAATTCCTGAAAATTGTTTCGCAAATTGCATCAATTTGTACCAAGTTGTTTTACCAACAACATGCGAAACAATCGAAACACGCGCTTTCTATAATTGCCAATCACTTTCAAAGGTTGACATTTCAAAGGTAACTTCAATTTACCCAGAAACATTCATGAACAGTGGAATTTCTAATTTGAAGTTTGATAACTGTCACTTTTTGAACACATCACTTTTCAAGAATTGTTTCAATTTGAAGACCTTTGATTTCACAGGAATTATCTATGTTTCCAACAATTGCTTCGAGAACTCATCACTCAAAACAATTACATTAGATGAAAGAAGTTTCATTGAAGACGAAGCATTCAAAGATTGCCATCTTTTGACAAAAGCTGATTTGAGTTTAATTACATCCATTCCAAAGGGCTGCTTCTTGAACTGCATCAAATTAAGTGAAGTTGTCATGAGACATTCTGTTTTAACCATTGGTGAAGAAGCGTTTGCAAACACTTCACTCGTGGAAGTTGTTATTCCAGACAGAGTTTCATTTATAGGAAAGAGAGCATTCAGAGATACTCTTTCTCTTAAGACATTGACATTAGGAAAGGGAATTACAACACTCACATGGGAAGATGCATTATTCGTTCGTTCTAATGTCGAAAAAATCATCATCGACAAAGATTGCAAGATCATTGAAAGAGATGCTTTCGAATTGAATCCAAATCTCAAGATCGAATTCAAGGACAACAGATTCTTCTCATTCATTGATAATTTCATTGTCAACACATTGACATCAACATTATTGACATCTGTTGGTAAATTAGAGCCATTCATCAAGATCCCAACAACAATTGATTTCGTAAGTTTGGCAGGAATCAAACACGAAGAGTTCATTGATGAATTCCACCAGATCTACACAAGATACACTGACATTTCACAGACATTTGTAACAAGACCAGACAGAGCACAAATCATTGAAGTCCCAGAAACAGTCAAACAGATACAAGACAAACCAACAGGATACATTAATTACAAGAGATTATTCTACAATGGAACATACATGCAAGAAATGAGTGTTCCTCAAGCTGACGAAAGAATTGCAACACTTAGATATAACTTCCCACAGTTATACACAACAAATTATATAATTGGAGATTCTTGCTCTGATAACTTGGATTATGATGAATTCAAGTGGAGACATGTTTTGGGAATGTCTTCATTAGAGAAAGGAATGATTGCTGCTGTTTCTATCGCTGGAGTTGCCCTTATCGTTTCTTTGATCTTATTATTACTTATTGTCTTCAAGATGAAACGACACGGAAATTACGAAGCAGTTTCAATGCAGACAATTCTCACTTCTCAGCCAGAAAAAGTCTAAATAAACATTTGGATTTTTCTTAATTTTTCATTATTTTGTATTTTGTGTAATTTGAAATATTATGACTTTGCAAGATAGAATATGATATAGATAATTACAATCAATACTATTCTATGATGTTACGCAGCCATGAAACTTTGTTCATTCGGAAAGATTTCTTTTGAATCATTAATCAACGCTTAGATAGGGGTAAAATCAGACTTTATGAGGTATGTTGTATAATTATAGTTTGTGCTGTAATATGTCATGAGATCAGAATATGAAGGGAGTATATATGTGTTATTGTCACAGGTATATATGTGAGGATAGCTCAGTCGAGTCTGTAAAATAGTTTAGTAGAAGAAAAAGTTATATAAAGAACAAAAAATTAAAAATAAACATTATTAAGTGAAAACCAAAGTTTACCTATTTTATGTAAGGTTTTGTCTTTGTGGGTTGAGGTATATGACAAAAAAGATTGGATAATGCACTCTTGTCGGTCAAACTTCCGCATTCAAGTTATGAATGCGGAAGAGTGTCTCATTCTGGGAGACATGCAGAGGCAATGTCTCCCAGAATGAGAAACTGCGACCGACAGGAGTGCATAATGCACTCTTGTCGGTCAAACTTCCGCGTTCAAGTTATGAATGCGGAACATTGTTCCATTCTGGGAGACATGCAGAGGCAATGTCTCCCAGAATGAGACACTGCGACCGACAGGAGTGCACAATACACTCTTGTCGGTCAAAGTTTTGCAATCACATTCTGATTGCAGAAGATTGTCTCATTCTGGGAGACATGCAGAGGCAATGTCTCCCGAAATGATACCGTCATACCAACACCAATTTATTCCTTCTTTCCATTGTCATACAATTCAATATTTTTATCAATCTTAATCAACTTTTTTTATTCTTCTTTAATTCAATTTATCTTTCTCCTAGAATATCTATTCCTTTAACAGACATAAAATCACTAATCGAGCTTTTTCAATACTCAAAATTTCATATAAATCTTTGTTATTTTTTCTCTCATCGCTTATTTTATTAAATATACATATTTCCTCTCACATATCCCTCTTCATATATATTGGATCTCAACACTCATCTATTAGAACAATATATTTTCGCTTAATCTCATATTATTCACTAACAATCTTTCATCTTCTTATTTCTAGTTAACCTACCAATATATATATAGAATATATGCCCAATTGCATATTCAGATACATTAAATTCAAGAAATTCTTCTAATATTATTCTCCTATTCATAATAAAATCATATTTAGTCTCACATCACAATTCTATCAGTTCTCCAATATCATATCATATTGGTAACATCACATATATCTCTTATAATATCACTTAAATTTGTATTTTTTTATTAATTATATTTAATTAGTTCTACATTCTATTATTATAGAGGTTTGACAAACTCATCAATAGTTAAAATCAAAATCTATTCAGAACTTTGAATCTAATGAAAATTACATTTCGATATCTTTTTGCAAGCTTAATTTTTTGTATTATCTTAAAATACATTTAGTAATGTTATGTACATATTGAATTCAAATTATAGCGCAGTAACATGCAACTCATCTTGAGATTCACATTTCATTTTCACAATTATTGCATATATACATCAATAACATATTGTACTCATATATCTACACGACTCTAAACTCAATGACATCAAATAATGCTTGTAATATTTAAAATAATTTTTGCATTTTTGATTCTCAGCTTAACTTCTATAAATGTCACCAAAACATTTCATTCCTACCAAGAAATAATATATTAGTAATTAAGCGTTTATTACCATTGTTACTCACATCATATTAATTCATTTTTGTAATTTTTTAAATAAATGACTGGAATCATAAACCCTATGTACCCATATCAACATGTTAAAATTTCAAAGTCTGAAACTTAGTATACATTGAGTTTCATGAAATCAGATAATCTCGTAGATTTCTTAAATATTATATATTGCTGGCCAATAATGATGCAGCATGATTCTCCATCATATCAGCATTCTAAACATATCTTTATTTTGTCCATTGGCATAAATTAAGGGTGCTTTTCAGGCGATAAATGGTATTTTAGATACCTGGGGTATGTAAAAGTCAAAAATTGAGTGTATGTTAGATTTTCTGGGAATGTGAAATTTGTCAAATGACTACCAGAAAATGCACCACCTCCAAAATGTGTTAATTTTTTTGGTAAAGTGACACTTGTGAGTGGACATCTTGAAAATGCATAATTTCCAATATATGTTAAATTTTCTGGGAATGTGACACTTGTTATATTACAATCATAAAATGCAGAATTGTGAGATCAGATTGAATTAATTCAAGGTTCTTTTCAATTAATATTAATGACCATATTACGCATTTTCGAACATTCTAAACCAAATATATAAAAATGGGAGACGAATGTTAAATTTGCTAGACATGGGGGAGTTGTCTGCAAAGTTTTAGCTCTTATCTCTAACAAAAAATTAATTTTTAAAAAAATGACCGAATACGTTTCACAGCGAGAAAAAAATAAAAGGCAAGATAGAATTTTCTAGACATAAAGAAGTTGTTTACCGAGTTTTAGCTCTTATCTCTAACAAAAAATTAATTTTTAAAAAAATGACCGAAAACGTTTCACAGCGAGAAAAAAATAAAAGGCAAGATAGAATTTTCTAGGCATAAAGAAGTTGTTTACCGAGTTTTAGCTCTTATCTCTAACAAAAAATTAATTTTTAAAAAATGACCGAATACGTTTCACAGCGAGAAAAAAATAAAAGGCAAGATAGAATTTTCTAGACATAAAGAAGTTGTTTACCGAGTTTTAGCTCTTATCTCTAACAAAAAATTAATTTTTAAAAAAATGACCGAAAACGTTTCACAGCGAGAAAAAAATAAAACTGTACACTGATTTTCATTTTCATTTCCAGTCACTTTACTTATTATTTTTCTTTTTTTTTCATTTTAATTATAAATTATTTCATAATACGTTTATTTACATTACCATTTTCTTTATTCTTTTGAATTCCATACTAGACACTTATAGAATATTTTGATTGTTAACGTACTTCATTAGAATGAATCCTTACAAAGGGTATGTCGATCGAATTTACCTAATTGGTATTTCCAATCAGATTGAAGAAGGTAAAATGACATGGGAAGAAGCTTGCACCCATGTTCCTATCGCCCCAACCCTTCAATCAAATGATTTCAAATATTTAGATGTTTCAAAATCTTTTTTACAAAATCAATTTAGCTTACAGAATATCCCATTGCCTAAAGGCAAGAAAGGTCGTAGGGATTGACCCTACGACCAAATCAAAGCTCTTGCTGTGATACATGACCACTGGGCCTTTCCCTGTGGTCAAACAAACAATGGAAACGTTTGAAATTACAACAAATTGATGTATCTTATAGAGAAGTACGCAGATACTTCAAAGAAAATCATTTCACCAAGACGCGATTAGAGCATGCCGGGCCAGAAACAGCAGTAAGATATTGGGCGCTTTCACCCAATCTTATCTGGCACGCAGATGTTCATTATTTTAGGGGTGTTCGTGGCCAGTATATTTATGGCATAATCGACGATTTTAGCCGCAAAGTCCTAGCGTGTATACAAATACCAGATATGCTGGCAGCGACGACAGCGAACGTTGCGGCTTCCGCCTTCATTGAATTTGGCGCCCCTTATTGTTTCTGGACCGACAACGGTTCAGAAAATAGGGGCGCCTTCAAGATCTACTTGATCTTTGGGGCGTCCAATGGCGGCATACAGACTCTCATTCTCCTACCAAAATGGGAAGATTGAGAGATTCTGGCCGACATTGGAGCGCTGCCAAAGCATTCAGGCTATTCCTGCCTTTATTTATACTATATATAAACACACCGCATGAAGATCTCCCAATTAATCCATTAACTGGAACAAATTACACGCCAAATCAAATGTATCAGCTGAAACCGAAATACACAAATGCAGATACAGAAAGGTTGTGGCAAATATGGATACAGATACAGGCATGACCGCTGTTGACACATTCACAGCGTAATAATAAACATAATTTTTTAATTTCATTTTTAACAAGTTTTTTAAATGTATGTAATGAATAATTCATTAGAATATGATAATGCACATTGTAACAGAATAGAACAATCACCAAATTTTTTTTGAAATTAAAAAATAAAAAAAAAGTCTAAAGTAATCTAACCAAAAAGATATTTAAAAGAATTTTGGAAAAAACACAATAAGGATAATGATATTATTTAGATACACAATCGATGTACTGAAGAATAATCGGTAAAATGTTATATAAAATTAGATTATTTTACAAGTAGCTAAAAGAATAAAACTATAATATAAAAAATGAAGTTTAATGAAACAATAAAGGTTAAATAAATAAAAGATTTTTATTTTATATCATATTGAGAAGAAGTAACAGCTGACACTTGGTAGACAACTTCTTTATGCCTAGAAAATTCTATCTTGCCTTTTATTTTTTTCTCGCTGTGAAACGTTTTTTCATTTTTTTAAAAATTAATTTTTTGTTAGAGATAAGAGCTAAAACTCGGTAAACAACTTCTTTATGTCTAGAAAATTCTATCTTGCCTTTTATTTTTTTTCTCGCTGTGAAACGTATTCGGTCATTTTTTTAAAAATTAATTTTTTGTTAGAGATAAGAGCTAAAACTTGCAGACAACTCCCCATGTCTAGCAAATTTAACATTCGTCTCCCATTTTTATATATTTGGTTTAGAATGTTCGAAAATGCGTAATATGGTCATTAATATTAATTGAAAAGAACCTTGAATTAATTCAATCTGATCTCACAAAATATTTTAAATTACAAACTTTGTAGTTTGAATAGGTAATTAGTATTAAACTCAAATAACTAGTTTATTTTTGAATAAAATTATTTGAATTTATTCAATTTTGTGAATTTTCCTTCAAAAATCAAGTTTAAATATCTTATTTGCCATATAATTATAAATACAATGAAACATATTCGAAATTGAAA